CGAGAGTGCAGAGGTTTGGACCCCCATTGAGGCCAGACTGACAGGATTGGAGGAAACAGCTGGGCTGAGTCCGTGCCCTGCAGGAGGGAGCTCACATTCCCGGACTCTGGGAGACAGCAGCTCCCCACAGCTCAGTCACATTCCAGGCCGGTCATTTTCCTGAGCCCAGATGTTTGCTAATGAGCTGGGGAGAGGGGCTTTCAGCCCTGAGCCCCAGTTCTGGGCCCCACATTACCTCGGCCCCAAGAGGCTGGCCCAGGGCCAGGAGGCTCTGGCCTCAGGCCCATGCCCTGTGCCAGCCAGGCCTGTAGGGGCAGCTGGAACACCACTGCCAACCAGGTGCATCTGCTCAAGCTGGGAGACTCTGACGTGACAGGTTCTGCCTTTCCCGCTGGGGCCCCTGGGTCCGGTCACCAGTGCAGCATCCCTGCTGCAGCCTGATGGGGAGGAGCACTGAGGCAGCCGAGAGGGTGGAGAGGGTGTGGTGGGCACGGAAGCATGGACTTTGGTGTTGACAGATCTGGGCTCAAGTCCAGGCTTTGTCAATTACTAGCAATGTGGTCTTGAGCAGGTAATGACACTTTTTGGTGTCTCGATTTTTCTCACCTATAAAACGGGAACAATGATGGGACTGTGGTAAGAGATGAAGCAGACAGAGTGGCCAGCATAATGCCTGGCACAAAATGGGTAGACATTACTACCAACTTACTTCTCAGGCCCCCTGCCCACACTGTAGCTTTCCAATAGTTATCAGTCATCACCAGACAGATGGTGACTCAACTCCAAACCCTTTGTCCCTGATTAGGAGGTTGGTGGTGTTCTTGAACCTCCCCGTGTTTGAGAGATGGTGGGCTGCCCTGTCAAAGGCGCTGGCTGGAAATTGTGGCTTCTACTCCTGGCTCTATGTGTGATCTGACCAGCTCATCAGGCTCCACAATTAGCTTTCTGCAATGTGGGAGTGGATTCTCACAAAATGTAGAACTCCACTTTCCACCCTGCTCAGGGTCTGCATGAAAGATGGTGGTGGTAAGCTTTGGTTGCAAAATGGTAAATATTTCCTGAGTGTCTAGTGTGTACAGTGCAGTGAGGCTGGTTTCTGTAGTACATGGTACATGGTTATCCAACAGACATTAGCGGGCATGGGCTCCTACCGTGTGACTTTAGGCAAGTTACTTAACCTTTCTCTAGACGTTCCTTTTTTCACTTTTTTTTTGTTTTGAGACAAGGCCTCGCTGGAGTCACAAGCTCATTAGGTTCCACAATTAGCCTTCTGTAATGTCGTCCAGGCTGGAGTACGGAGGCATAATCACAGCTCACTACAGCCTCAAACTCCTGGGATCAAGTGATCTTCTGCGTCAGGATTTTTTCCACTTTTGTTATTTTATTTATTTATTTGTTATTTATTTATTTATTTTTTGAGACAGAGTCTCATTCTGTCTCCAGGCTGGAGTGCAGTGGTGCAATCTCGGCTCACTGCAACCTCCACCTCTCAGATTCAAGTGATTCTCCTGCCTCAGCCTCCCGAGTAGCTGGGACTACAGGCACATGCCACCACACCTGGCTGATTTTTGTATTTTTAGTAGGACAGGGTTTCACCATATTGGCCAGGCTGGTCTCGAACTCCTGACCTCAAGTGATCCGCCTGCCTTGGCCTCCCAAAGTGCTGGGATTACAGGCATGAGCCACGGTGCCCAGTACTTTTAAAATAGAGACAATACTTACCTCATAGGTTTATTGTGAGAGTGGCAACAGCTTGCAGTGGGATGAGGCACATGGTAAGGTGCTCAATATGTGTGAACTATTATAACGGTCATAGTTACCATTAAGGGGAGACCTATCTGTGCTACATCAAACGGGGATAATAATTACTTTATTCGCTGGGCGTGGTGACTCACGCCTGTAATCCCAACACTTTGGGAGGCCGAGGCAGGTGGATCACTTGAGGTCAGGAGTTCGAGACCAGCCTGGGCAACATGGCAAAACCCCATCTCTACTAAAAATACAAAAACTGGCCGGGCGTGGTGGTGGGCACCTGGAATCCCAGCTACTCGGGAGGCTGAGAATTGCTGGAACCCAGAAGGCAGAGGTTGCAGTGAGCGAAGATCTCGCCATTGCATTTCAGCCAGGGTAACAACAACAAAACTCCGTCTCAAAATAATAATAATAATAATAATAATTCAATCATCTCACCTGGCCTGCCCATAAGCAATGAAGACACTGAAATAAACACATGATTCCTGCCCTCAAGGTCTAATGGAGGAAAGAGATGTACACAGCTATTCTAGAGGGAAACTGACATGAACAGAAGTTCTCATCCAGTGCTCCAGGATCACACTGGAGGAGGGAGATGCTCCCAGAGGGTCTTGGGAAGGCTTTCCAATCTGGTGCTGTTAGAATATTTGCCAGAGATGAAAGGAGGGGAAGGGAATTCCGGGTAGAGGGAAGGGCGCAGGAAACAGCTAGGAGGCACAGATGCAGGCTGGGTGTGGAGGGTGCGGGTAGGCTGGAGTACACCAGGGAGTTTCCAGCAGGCCACTAGGAGCCACCCAGGATGCTCGGCAACCTCATGAGTCAGATGAGCAGGGCTGCGTCTATCTGGAAGTTTCCAGCCAAGTTAGGTAAAACACATGGACACAGGTAACTATGCTGTAAAGCAAAATCCCCAAGTCCTACAATCGTGTCCCAGTGGTGTCCCTGGGCCACCAATTTCCAGGAGCAAAGTTATTTTCTTACCCCGTTGTTAAGCACACAGAGAAGGCACGGCCGCAATCCACCCAAGTGCCCACTGATCAGATAGGAACCCCCAAGGTGAGGCTGGAAGCTGGGGCCAGGCGCTCCACTCTTGTCAGGAGTCAGAGAAGTGAGTTCATTTGCTGGCTTTCTAGTTCCTAATAGTCCCTGGGGCTTTTCGGGATGCTTAGCCAAGTGTGTGGGGCCGAGAGCAACGCTAGGATAACACTGGGCAAGGTTGAGTGACCCAGGTTACCAACAGCACGGACTTGAACCGGGTCGCATACGGGAGCGGGCGAGATGGGGTGCACCGCAGAACCGCAGAGTGAGGAGGGACTCCTGGTGCCGGGACGCGGCAGGCTGGGGCGCCCCATTCTTGGGGCAAGTCTGCAATGCCCGGTGCCCACAAAAGGGACACATCCATCTTTGTCACCCCGAGGCCTGGCACGGCCTGACGGCCCAGGCTCGCGAAAAGTCGGGCGGAGAGGGTGGAAGCGCAGAGAAACCCGGGGAGGGTGCTTTAGAACGAGCCAGGGCGCCCGGCTGCGCTGCCCTGCTTCTCGGGCGCCGGCCAGGCGTCCCGGCCGCCCCACCACGCCGTCGGAGCGCGCCGAAGCCCAGCCCGGGGCGGGCGGGCGGGGAGAGGGCCTGGGGCCCCGGCCGCTGCGGCGCCCCCTCCTGCGCACCCGGAGGGAGAGGCCGCGCGCGCCCGCCCGCTCTTTCTGCGCGCGGCCCTCCCCGCTGCCCCCGCCCTCGCGCCCTGTTTGGAGGGAGCCACCCTGACGTCGGAGCCGCTCCCCCGCGCCGCGCGCCCGCCCGGGGCCGCAGACGGCGCGCAGCGCAGCCCAGCCGAGCGTCGCGGGGCCGCCCCCAGTCCTGCCGGCCGCCTCGCCGAGCCTCCTGGGGCGCCCGGGCCCGCGACCCCCGCACCCAGCTCCGCAGGACCCGGCGGGCGCGCGCGGTAAGTCCCGCCTGGGCCGGCACGCGGGCGCCCGGCTTCCAGAGGCTTCGGCCGCGGGGGCAGCGCCGCGCCCCCAGCCCGGAGCTCCGTCCCCCGGCGCGTCCGGCGGCCGCGGGCACCGGGTGGAGGCGCCGCCGCCGAGCCCGGGAGCCTAAGGGGACCTGGCGGACGCCTCCGGACGCCGGCGCTGGGGACGTGGGCGCGGCATGGGGTGGCCGGGGGGCACCGCCGTGCCCGGAGCCCGTCCCCAGACTCGCCCCGGGGTTCCGTTTCTCGATCGGAGTTTCCGCGACCGGGAGAGAGAGGGAGCGAGGGAGGGAGATGCGTGGCCGGCCGGGCCGGGCTCGCATGTCCCCCGGTCGTGCCCGGGCCTCGCCGCGCCTCTCGGCTCTGGACGTTTCCGCCTCCCGCGGCCCCCTCTGCTTCGGTCCCCACGTCCGTGTGTCTGTCCCTCCGTCGCTCCGTTTCCGCCGCTCACTTTCCCCGGGTCTGCCCGTCTCTTACCGTTCCCTGTCTGCCTCCGTGTTCGGCTGCCCGCGTTTGTGTCTCTGCCTCTCGCTTTTCTCTCCCTCTCTGTGTCTCTGCGCTGCCCTCCGTGAGGGTCTCGCCCTGTGTCTGCGCGTCTCCCTGACCCCCCGCCCTCCGATCCAGACAATCCCCCCAGTGTCGGAGGCTCGCCTTTCCCCAGCGGGGTTCACGAATAGTTTCCTAGACCGGGTGCGCCAAACCCTCCCCCTGCCTCCCGCCAGCCCCGAGGCCTGGCCCGGGTCATCTCCCTGGAATTGAGTCTGGGGCAGGGAGAGCCAGCCTTTCCGGGGGCTCAGTTTTCTTAAGAATTCCACCCCCGCGAGGCCGGCTGGACGACAGGCCCTGCTGCGGGCCACCTGCCCGGCCCGCTCCCAGGGCGGGGCGATTCTGATCTTTTACAAGCGGCGGCAGAGGGGGCAGCCGCCCGCCTTGGCGTGGCCGGGGGTTGGCGGGCATCAAGGGAGAAGGCCATACTTCCAGGCTTTCGGAGGCCCTGGCTCCCCTAGCTGGACGCCACCAGCCTGTAACTAGGGGCACCCCAGGAAAACAGAGGTCAGGGCTGGAGGCCAAAGACCGGGCGCTGGCCGGGAAGCAATTTGTCAACAAGGAGCCCCTTACCCTTTGTTACTGCGGAATGGGGCCTCCCTAGACTCCCCCAGATGCTGGGACTGCTTGGGCGTGGTTTGCCTTGAGTTGGGGCCAAAGAAAAGGCGAGGCTGCAGCGTTTCCTCGGTGACCCTCACCCCTCTCCACCCACCCCTGCAAACTGGACCTCTCTCCCGGGCCTGTGTTTTGGAGGGGTGGACATGGGAGTAGGTGTTCTGCATCGGCCAGCGATATGGCCTCATTATTTTAAAGTGAAATTTCAGGCTGAGTTTAGCTGCTTCCCCCGACCCACAACCCCAAGGGTCGGAGGCTGCCGGAGCGGGCAGGGTTGTTGGTGAGGTCTGCAGTGGAACTTCTGCTGAGCAGATGTGCAGCCGGGCCCTGCAGCAGCTCATTAGCATGGATTTGTTTTGGAGACTGTTTCTGGTCTGCGGGCAGGAGGGTCTGTGGTAAGGAAGGCCTTGGCCTGGATTGGGGGGCTGGCACAGAGGTGGCCAGGGCTGGAAGGTGCAGGCAGGCCTGGGTGACACGGGCTCGGCCCTGTGTGTCCGCCCCCTGGACAGTTGACTCATGCTCTCCCCAGTGCTGAAGGAAGGAAGGAAAAGCCACCCTGCCGTGAGACTGGGGTCGTGGAATCACAGTGGCCTTAAGCAGTATGCTGGAGCCAGGCTCCTCCCTGGGGGATCTGCTGAAATGGATGTTCCCAGGCCAGGCTGCCCATTTTACAGGTTGCAAACGTGAAGCTTAGGGAGGGGAAGCAAATGGTCAGTGACTCGAGCTGTAACCATTAGATTCTCCTGACTCCAGGCACACAGAGAGCCAATGTATGAGCTTTGGCCAGAACTCGTCCTCAAACCCCAGGGTGAGCCCAGTAAACCCAGTCGGGCTGACCAGAGCTGGGGCCTGACCTGGGTGAGCAGGGAGCTCCAGGCCTGACACTGCCTTGCCCCTTCACAGAGCAATATTTTCAGTTGCACCATTCAAGGAAGTCCCTGTGCTCATTCCAAAACCTGGAGCGATCGCCCCGCCCTTGCCAAGCCCCAAGCCTAGGGCTGCAGCCCAGCCGCCCTCCACACCCTCTGCGCCCAGCAGCACACTCAGCCTGGCGGTGAGGCACAGCCTGTTTTCTTGAAGTTGGATTTTGGAGGAGGCTGGTGTCTCCACGACCCTGTCTTAGAGTCTGAGTGGGATCTTCCTCCCAGTTCCCACCCTGGCAGGGAATCATGTTGGGCAGCCCTTGACAGTTTCTAAAATTCATTCCCAGCTGTCATCCCACTTGCTTGAGTTTCACCTCGTTTTCCCTAAATCCAGGCTCACTGTGGCAGATGCAGCCCAGACTGAAATAGCCTCAGGACCTGCCCAGGGTCCTGTGGGAGCGAGGGGCAGAAGGAAGTAGGCAGAAGCCAGGGAGGATAAGAGGCCCAAGGTAGCACTGAAAGTGACATGACTGAGGAATTAACTCTGATGGGTGATCTCCCCAGAGGTTTCCATGTATTCTTCAGTTTAATTCTTACAGCTGTCTGTGAGCTGGATATTAGCACTATCCCCACTTTGCAGATGAGGAAACTGAGGTACAGAAAGGTTAAAATGGGACCAAGTGATCCCAGTGCTTTGGGAGGCTGAAGTGGGAGTTCAGGACCAGCCTGGTCAACAAAGGGAGACCTCGTCTCTCCAAAAACTTAGCTGGGCATGGTGGTGTATGCCTGTAGTACCAGCTACTCGGGAGGTTAAGGTGGGAGGATCGCTTGAGCCCCAGAGTTTGAGGCTGCCATGAACTATGATTGTGCCACCACACTCCAGCCTGGGCAACAGAGTGAGATCCTGTTACAAACAAGAACATGAAAATAAAAAGAGAAAGACTGGAATGACTGAACTACGATTTGAACTCAAGTCTGTCATAACTGTGGAGAATGGAAGAGAAGAGCCAGACCCTACCCTTAGTGAGTGTGGGGGCAGAGGAAAGGTGGGAGAGGCAGGGGAGGGTGAGCATCTGGTTTGACAGCCACAAACACCGTGTGCTCGTTGTGCGTGCGGACTGCGGTGTCACCTGAATGCTGAGCCCACAGGTAGAATCGTCCATCCTCATCAGCTGGGGCCAAGTGTGGGAAGGTTCCCAGAGGAGGTTCTGGAAGCAGGAGGTGAAGATGGGGAGGGAGAGCCCCGCCTTTCCACTGAGGATTCATCAGCCCTGCCCTCCATGGCTCTGCACCGAGTGGTTGCTGGAACCGGTAACAGGAAAGGCCTGGGGTGTGTGTGTGCGTGTGTGTGCGTGTGTGTGTGCATGTGTGTGTGGTGTGTGTGTGTGGGGTGTGTGTGCGTGCGGGTGTGTGTGCATCTGTGTGTGGTGTGTGCATGTGTGTGGGGTGTGTGTGTGGTGTGTGTGTGTGGGGTGTGTGTGCGTGCGGGTGTGTGTGCATCTGTGTGTGGTGTGTGCATGTGTGTGGGGTGTGTGTGGTGTGTGGTGTGTGTGTGGTTGTGTGTGCGTGTGTGTGGTGTGTGTGTGCCTGTGTGTGTGGTGTGGGGTGTGTGTGTGGGGGGTGTGTGCGTGTGTGTGGGGTGTGTGTGCATGTGTGTGTGTGGTTGTGTGTGCCTGTGTGTGGTGTGTGTGTGCGTGTATGTGTGGTTGTGTGTGCGTGTGTGTGTGGTGTGTGTGTGCGTGTGTGTGGTATGTGTGGGGTGTGTGTGTGCATGCGTGTGTGTGGGGTGTGTGTGCGTGTGTGTGTGGTTGTGTGTGCATGTGTATGGTGTGTGTGTGGGGTGTGTGTGTGCGGGTGTGTGTGTGTGCGTCTGTGTGTGGTGTGTGCATGTGTGTGTGCGTGTGTGTGGTATGTGTGGGGTGTGTGTGTGCGTGTGGGGGGTGTGTGTGTGCGTGTGTGGGGTGTGTGTGTGCGTGTGTGTGTGGTGTGTGTGTGCGTGTGTGGGGGTGTATGTGTGCGTGTGCTTGTGTGGATGTGCATTTTCTTGTGCGTAGATAGGCACGCTTATATATGTGTGTGTGTGTGTGTGCGCTTTGTTCTTAGGGGGTGCAGGTGGTTTGGGGTATGCCTGCTTTTGTGTGTGTGTGGGTCTGGGGTGAGTGGATACACTCTACCTTGAAAATCCTGGTATATCTGGCCTTGAGTGACCCTGAATATTCAGGCTTAATCCAGAAGAGGAATCGGGGAGGATGGTTCACTTGTTATACCAAAGCCGATCTGCTCTACAAAGGGTTTCGTGGTGGTCGGGAGTCAGGAAGGGGCTGGTGTTTCTTGAAATCTAGGCCGCGCCCGTGTATTTAGGGTGCATTTAGGATGCCTTGCCAGGTGCTAGAGTCCAGGCGGCGGTGGGGCTCGGGGGCCCCAGCAGCAGTGCTGTTAATCGAAGCCTCTTTCCTGGGGACTGGGAGGCCGTTGCTCCTGGTCCGGCTGGGCTTCAGAGTCCCGTGGGGAGCACATTCAGGTGCCCAGGCTATGCTCATACCTGGGGGATCACACAAGGAGGGCCGGGCCCCGGCATCTCAGTTTTGGCGGGCATCTCAGGAAAGAGGCTTCACAGGCCTGACTCCGAAGCTCGCCTTCCTGGGGGACCCTCTGGCCCAGGGCTTCCAGGAAAGCAGCCAGGGCAGGGCTACTGTGTTTGTTCCTCCTCTTCCCCAGAGTGGGAGCTATGGGTGGGTCACTTCCTTGACCTGTGCCTCAGTTTCCACAGTGCCAAAATGGGTCTGCTGGTGTCACCTCCCAGGGAATTTCCTTTCTGTGTGGGCAGCAGCTCAGAATGTACCAGGCATTGGCAGGGGGCTGCTGAGGAAGTGGAGGGCTTGGATTTGGGAGTGGTGGGTGGGTGGGGTTGGGAAGAGGACACTCACCTGTGCTAAGGACACCTCCTTTACAGCCTCACAGCGCCCCCGTGAGGAAGGATAGTGTCACACACACCTTTACCTGGGCTGCAAGAGCCAGGGGCAGCCATGGCCACAAGACAGTTGGCTAGGGAGTCAGCAATGGGATTTGACCTCTGGTTTATGGAGCCCTCAAGCTTTCAGTCCAGGCCGTGGCTGAACACTAGGGTGCTAACAGGAATGAGAGGCACAGTCGGCTGGGGCAATGGCAGGAGCTCCAGGCCTCATCCTAACTCCAGATTCCATCCTTTCTTGCTTTTTTCTCTTCGGTGAACCTTTTCACCTGCCAGGGTAGCCGGGGGTTGAACCTGCTACCATCCAGGTTCAAATCCCAGTTCTCCTGTTTACTAACAGTGAAAGCCCAAGCAGATTTCTTAGCCTCTCTGTGCCTCAGTTTCTTCATCTAAAAATGGAGGAAAGAATAGGATCAGGCGGTTATTGTAGGACAGAGTAAATTAATATCCAGTCACACACCACATAATGATGAACCACATACACAGTGGTGCTGCCATAAAATTATTATTATTATTTTGAGACGGAGTCTCACTCTGTCCCGCAGGCTGGAGTGCAGTGGTGCAATCTCGGCTCACTGCAAGCTCTGCCTCCCGAGTTCAAGTGATTCTCCTGCCTCAGCCTCCTTAGTAGCTGGGACTACAGGCATGTGCCACCACACCCGGCTAGTTTTTGTATTTTTAGTAGAGATGGGGTTTCACCGTGTTGGCCAGGCTGGTCTCGAACTCCTGACCTCAAGTGATCTGCCCACCTCAACCTCCCAAAATGTTGGGATTACAGGCGTGAGCTACTGTGCCTGGCCTCCCATAGGATTATAATACCGTATTTTTACTACACCTTTTCTTTCTTTTGTGATTGTGTAGTGGCACAATCCTGGTTCACTGCAGCCTCAACCTCCCAGGCCCGAGTGATCCTCTCACCTCAGCCTCCCAAGTAGCTGGGACCATAGGCATGCACCACCACGCCTGGCTAAGTTTTAAATTTTTGTAGAGATGGGATCGCCTTGTGTTGCCCAGGCTGGTCTCGAACTCCTGAGCCAAGCAATTCTGCCATCTTGGCCTCCCAAAGTGCTGAATACCTGATATAGCCTAGGTATGTAATAGACTAGACTATTCAGGTTTGAGTTCACTCTATGGTGTTCACAGAGCAACAAAATCACCTAATGGCACATTTCTCAGAGTGCATCCCCATGGCTAAGTGATGCATGACTGTAGTTGCACTCTTATATTTAGTTCAAAATTCAGAACCTCTGCTTCCCTCCTGAGAGCCATCTCTGACTGCACCAGCTCCAAACAACTGCCTCCTGTTTACCCACATCCCTGGACCTCCCCTCAGGGGACTGTCTGAGTGGGCATAGCGTCTGGGCCCCCAGCTCCCTGCCCTTACCCTTGCCTTTCTCCCCACGCTCCTAAAAGTGACCCCTGCCCTCCTAGAAGTGAGTGAGTGAGTGTGGAACTGCAGTGTTCCAGGGCAGGGCATTGCTTTGCCTGACTTGCTGGGGACCTTGGGACAGCCCCTTGCAGAGGAGGGAGAGACTTGGCCTGGGAGATCTCCAACTTTCCTTCCCGCCCTCGCTTTTGGGGAGTCCCATGACTTGCTGTGTGACCTTCAGGGTGGGAGGAAGGGTTGAGAATCTGGGTGAGGCTCTCAAGGCCCGGGAAGGAAAGTATGATTGCTGCTTAAAAAAAAAAAGGATGAGTTGCTGCTTGAAGAAATAAAAATGCATAAACCAACAAAAAAGAAAACCTGCTAGCCAAGAGCCCACCCCACCTCTGCTGGAAAGCCCCCGGTGGGGGCAGCCTGGGCTCTTCAGGGCTGGGCAGGAGGGCGGGCGGAGGTAGGTGTGTCTGAAGGACGGCCATGTGTGGGAGAGGCTTCACCTGGCATCCTCGCTGCCTCCTGTTCCAGCCCAGCCTTGGCTCTGATGCTGGCCTAGCCTTTCCCATGATCCCCTGAGGGGAAGAGAGCTGACCTTAGTGGGTGCCTCCTAGGTGCTGAGTACCTTCATTTACTCCTCCCAGTTCTTTTCCAGGGAGGGCGCAATGCTGCCCATATTAGGGTTGAGAAAGGCAGGTTCTGAGGAGTGAACTTATTTCTGGGAGTCATACAGCTCCTAAGGGGAGGGGCTGCAGTTCAAACACTGGGGACTGCAGGCTCCACGCTTCCAGGGCGAGCCCCGGGAGAATGCTGGAGCTCCACGCTGCTGGCCCAGGGAGGCTGAGGCCCCAGTACCCTGTGGAGAGCCTGCCAGGGCCTGGTGGGTTGGGTTACAGCACCCCTCTGTGGGCACAGCTGGCCCTGTGATGACCTCAGCTGTGCACTGGAAAGGGTGGAAGGTAAGGAGGGGGCCTTCTGCCTCCGTTCGTCTCATTTCTCCTAACCTCTGCCCCAGCCTGACCCTGATAACCAGTTCCTGATCTCTGGGCCTGCAACCTCTTCCAAAAAGTCACCATTACCCCATCTCCCAGTAAGCCTCCATTAGCCTCCGCCCCAGTCTCAACACTCAGCTGCAGCCTGGTCCTGAC